ATCTTGAAAACTACATGGCAATGCAAATCAAAAGTTTTTAACAGTGTTGGAAATTTCAGAAATTTTAGAAATTTCACTAATTTCAGAAATTTCAGTAAGTACAGAATTATGGAAATTTTGGAAATTTCGGAAATTACATCATTTTGGGAAATACTGAATAATTCAAAACATTAATGTTGGAAATTTCCAAAATTTCCGAAATTTCCTTTTTCGGAAGTCTGAACACTGCTGGGAATAGGTCCGATATTTATTTACAAGGACTTAAAAATCCTTCGTTCTGAGATTCTTCTAAGAAAATCAAATTTGAGCATTTTTTAGTGTCGAATTTGGACACTGTTCTTTATTTTACAGCTAAGATCATCATCTAGAGTTCATAGAAACCCTTCTAGCATTTCTAGACAATGTTTTGCAGCAGATCTTCTCCAAAAACCTGATAATAGCTTAGTGTTACACGTTCTATCTCTTCGAGGATGTGGAGCATGGGTGTGAGTGTGGGTATGAGATGTGGATGTCCTTGAAGAGAAGATGCACACCCATACCTACACACCAACTTAATTCACCTGAATTATACTTTAAGCGAACCATATCTATGAAATACGATTCTTCTCTATAGCCATACTCTCAATTCAAAAACCGAGCGCATAATAATACGTCAAAAATCTTGAACTGATGTGATATATATATTCGTTCGAAAACACTTTTATGATTTTTTTTCGTTATTATACCGACGTGTTTTTATGAGTTTATTTTTCTTGTTTGTCTGAGTGGGTCTCGAGAAAATCATCGGCAAAGATTCCAAATGAATCCCTAAGTTCTACACTCATAATCCTTATTAGAATCATCATTGCTTTTGCACGTATTCGAAACGCTTATTCTTGAAAGCTGTCAAAAAAGTTCGTGAAATGTTACCGTAAAGGTTCTAAAAGTAGGCATAAATCGGATTCCTGGTATCCTCATGATATCATACCAAGACTTATAAACTTGGTATTCTGTCTGGGCATATTACTTTCTTGCTAAGATTTTAGCTTGGTTTGGCTATGAATTTCAATGGGATTCTGCTATGAAGATGGTGAGAAGGCCTTGTTAAAACCTTTTGAATTTATGTTACAGTCTTCTTTGCTACATAAAATTCGATCTAATCTTTGCTGAATTCTGATATTATCGTGTCAATATCCCATGAAAGATCAGTGTTTTATCTTCTGAGAATGAGAAATGCTTGTTCTTGAAAATCTACTGATGGCATCTTGGAAATTTGGAAAAGAATTCTTTTTTTTTGCAAGTATACATCCGATTTCTGGTATTCTGATGAAATCTTGTTAGAATTTTGTAGTTCAGGATTCATCAGGTGCCGGTTTTATTCTTCATTATGCTTCTACTTTTATACAATGAGAACTCTAAACCAGATTCTCATATGAGGATTTTGAACATATATTTCTAAAAATCGAATAATATAGTGATGATGAAGAAATCTTTGTATCTTGATGCATTCGCTGATTTCACTCATAAATAGACGAATAGATAGGTTAAGTATTCAAGCTGTGAATATTTTATTTGATTTCATTGTTCTCATTCGATTAGTCGATATTTCTCATCAAGCATATGATTTGCCAACCTTTTCTTGGTAATGAGTCTAAGACAGTTTTAGGATATACTCAAAGTAACATTTCTCTACCAGAGAAGCAAATTTAAATTTAAATTTAAATAGTAAAGACACTGAAATTGAAATAAAACACGTGTTTATGACTTTTCTATTCTTGCTCGATTTTAGGTGACTGTGTGCATTCAGTTTTCATGAGTCTTCGTTGCTTTAGAGTACTTCAGTATATCGACTATTTCAAATTTGAAAAAAGGTTATTTTTTAATGACCCAATCTCTTATTTTTTTCTCTTCAGTTTGATTTTGTGCATTTTCATATTATTTTCTATTAATTTTCTCATTTCTTTGAATATTTATCGCTTTCACTCATAGTACATAGTAAACGATTCTTTTTTGACGCATTTTCATTTCTATTTATGCACTACTTGACATTTTTTTAGTCATTGATTGCATTGTTTTTTTTATAGTTAGTTAAAAATTAATGTAGATGATAGATTGGCTACTGAAGGCAAGTAGTTGAATACAAGTTTGTTTTAAAATTTTTAGTACTTTCATTGAAATTGGACATACATGTAAAGCGATTGAATGTTTTTTTTTTGTTTTTCTATTCACGTCAGCAAAGACGATGAAAAAGCGAATAGTTATAGTTCGATATCATAAGTAAGTTTCAATTATACTTTTCATAAGGTTCGATGGCTTATTTTGATTTAATTTTTGTATATTTCGAATATACAAAGTCGAACAGATTGAAAAGATATATTTTGAAATCTAATATCTAAATATTGGAAAAATACAAAAAGAAACACATTTAAAAGTAGTAGAATCATTTTTATCATTATATCTTCACATGTTGCTTTAGCCCCTCTCCCTAGAAGAAAAGTTGATTTTTTGTGAAAACCATGAAAATTCAGATAAATGCACAGGAAGACAGTTTGTAGTCAAGTCTTTTAAAAACGACATGACTTTCTATGTATCAATTCGTTTTTGTTGGAAAAAACGTCTGTCATTTTCTGCTTGAAAAAATATAGTTTCTGAGATAAATTGAAAATCATTTTTGCTTTTTCTTAGTTTATGTTTTTTTGATTGGGCATCCCAGCATGTGTGAAGGAGCTTCATTTTAGTGTATGACTTTTTCTTCGATTTGAAAGAGTATGTCAAGAGACAGGACATGACAGAGTCCTTTCTTAAATTGATCTTCGTTATTATCAAATAAAGGAGTAGTTTTATAATTAGAACGCCATTTTTTTGAGAATGTAAGAATTGTGGTGTGGATATGGGTGTGTATGGAAAGAATCAGCCCACACTCACACCCATACCAAGAGCCATACACACGTCATTTTTATATCATGAATAAAATATGATGAGGATATATCGAATGGTATTTAAGCAAACTTTCTAGCTGTCACAGTTTCGAAGATAATTGATAAAAAAAATGTGTCAAGAAAAGTAACAGTATTACGTTTGAATAAGATGTTTCACTCAAAACAAGATATTTTTGATTCAAACGACAAAAAAATCTAGAAACTTCAAGTATGAGTAAATTTTTATAGGATCATACATTTTTATATTTGAATTTTGGACTGACTTGCTGGCCTAATTTTGCAAACGTAAGTCAAATCAAAAATGACAAACTAGAAAATAAATGAAAATAAGAATCAAAATTGTAATTTTTGTGTGTCGAATAGTTGTTCACTAATGTTGACTTTAATTTGAAGCAATCCCAAGTTCTATAACTTTAAATAATGATATAGTCTTAAGATATTTTAAATGTAAGGAATAAATATCGCCTATCCATAAGTTAATTAATTATTGTTGAGAATTGTAGACCCGGAAACGAACCTTGCTAAGCCCCAAATGAGAGCTAAGAGTAGATTTCTCTATGTAAAAAAAGAACGTCTTATAACAATCGATTCTAGAAGAACAGCATAATATGTTAAAAAACAAACTTCTAATGAGCATGTGATTTTGCAGATAAAACTATGAAAAACAAAAAGAAAAAAAGAAAAGCAATAGAGAAATTTCAGTTGTGTAGTCTGACGAAGTTTCTTTTGTCTAGAATGTTCTTTAACATACATTTAACGTACATATAGAAAAAAAATTGATAAGAAAACTAATGAAATAGTTTCAACTTCTAATCTTTTTTTGTTTTTAATTTAAAAATACATGTAAAACTATGAACTTTTTTTATTCTTTTTCTCGATCTATGAAGAAAATTGCAAGTTCGTTTGAACTTAGAAACGAAAAAAGCAATATAGTAAATAATTGAATATTTCCTCATGAAGTTGCTATAATATCTAATAATATATGTAAAGAAAAAGTTCTATTAAAAACAAATATGAATATAATAAAGATTTTTTTTCTGTTTTAATTAGTTTATTTCTATTATTTCATGACTCTCTGTCTCGCTCTGTCTAGTAGTCGGTAAAAGGATGTGAGATTTCAATGTTTTCTATATATATATGCATATTCATAATTATATCTTTCATAGAACTCAAAAAGAAACATTCATTATTTGTAATAGAATGATTTTCGTGATCTATTTCTGTTTCCAAGCAAAACAAAAAGAACTTTAATTATTTGTATTAATGATTTATTAATTACGTACGATGACTTACATTTCAACTCTATTAAAATCGTTTTTTGAAGTGCACTAATTCAAAATGTAAGATATACAGATAGTCGAAAAGAAAAGCAAAAAAAAAGAACATACATCAATAGTTATTCTATGATAAATAAAGTAATAAAGAAAACCAAAACGAAAACACCTCAGTGTCAAAATAAGAAATCTGAAACAAGTCAAAATTTGGAACGATGTTGATTTTTCAAAAATTCAAATGAACTTTTCACTTTTTTCTCTCTTATTTTACCCTTTCTCGTTTCTCTCTCGATTTCAGTCCATCCATTACGTGGGAGTTCAATTGACATTCATCCGAATGCTCAATGGCAACAAAATGGTATCACTATGGCTGGAGGAAATCAACAAGGCAATGGAATCAATCAACTCTCAAACCCATGGGGTTTGTATGTTGATGATGATCAAACAATCTATGTTGCTGAATGGTCGAATCATCGTATTGGGGAATGGAAACAAGGTGCAACGAATGGCCAAGTGGTTGCCGGTGGAAACGGACAAGGAAGTGGAGATCATCAATTGTCTAACCCAACAGATGTGATTATCGACAAAGAGAGAGATAGTCTCATCATATGCGATTCTTGGAATGGAAGAGTGGTTCGATGGTCTCGTCGAAATGGGACAAGTGGAGAAACAATCATCTCCAACATCTTATGTGGGTTTGACAATGGATGAGAATGGATCTCTCTATGTCACTGATGGTGGAAAAACTGAAGTGAGACGATATCGAAGAGGAGAATCTCAAGGAACAGTGGTTGCAGGTGGCAATGGACGTGGAAATCGTCTCGATCAACTCTTTTATCCCGAACACGTGTTCGTCGATCGAGATCATTCAGTGTACGTATCTGACGGGGACAATCATCGTGTGATGAAATGGATGGAAGGTGCAAAACAAGGCATTGTCGTGGCTGGTTGTCAAGAAGAAGGAAATGGTCTTACACAATTGTCATATCCTGGAGGAATCGTTGTCGATCAATTGGGCACTGTCTATGTGGCTGATCGAGGGAATAATCGAATCATGCGTTGGCCTAAAGGAGCCACACAAGGAAGTGTCATTGTTGGTGGAAACGGTAGTGGAGAACAATCGAACCAACTCAATGAGCCCATCGGTTTGTCATTCGATCGACACGGGAATATTTATGTCGTCGGTTTCGGAAATCATCGAGTTCAAAAATTCGAACTTCAATCGAACCCAAATTGAACAACGAACCCTAGAAATGACATTCACCATTCATAACTGACTCACCTAATCAATAATCTCACTAATTAATTAACAGTGTCTCTAATTATATTATTATTAAAATAACATAAAATTTATGCTACTTATATAAAACCAACCAAAAGAAAACACATACAAATACCCATTCTACTATAGGAAACCTTAAACGAACAAAAAAAAAAGGGAAACAGCAAAAGACAAGGCAAACATCCGGCTGATTTCCCTCAAAGCGGAAACCTTGAATTCCCCCAAGGATTCCATGACATGATACAATATCTGGTATTGAGAATATTGTAGACCATGATGAATTCTATTAGATTCCAAAAGATCTTGAAGTGGAAAGGTATGCAAACCTTGATCTCGAGAAAATCCCTTTCAGTCACCATAGGGCTTTGAGAGGAGACCAAGGATTCCATGACATGATCATATATCTGGTATTCAGAATATTTTAGATCATGATGAATTCTAACAGATTCCAAGGATTCCACAAGATCTTGAAGTAGGTGGGTGTGTGGGTGTGGGTGTTGGTGAGGATGTGGGTATGGGTGTTGGTGTGGGTGTGGGTGTTGGTATGGTGCCGGATGTGAGTAAAGAGAATATAGCCACACCCACACACACCCACCCACACCCACGCCCACACCCACACTCACACCCACACCCACACCCACACCCACACTCACTTACACCCTTTTGTAAGTAAATAATTTACATTTATAATAAATATTAATTTCTCATAATTTATTTTTATTATAAATTAAATGGTAAATGACACCCCTACTTACCACTGTCTTCTTAAACTTAATAATGTAATACCTGAATCGATCCTGAACTCTTTTTATCAAAACAGATGCTGTAAATGTCATTTGATGGATATCAGACTAGTTATCTACCGGACACTGATCGAGTATTCATTCTTGATAGCAAACAGGCTCTTTATTAATCATCACTCTCAGCACAATTGAACTCGATCAAAATTCACCTATTGAAGTCGAACTACATTATTGCACGATTGAACTCGACTCGAACGCGAACATATAAACTCGAGTTCGATTCGAGTTCGAGTTTATATGTTCGAGTTTACATGTTCGAGTACGAGTCGAGTTCAATCTTGTAACGTTTGACTCGAAAACTCGAAGTCATGTTCTGAATTGGTACATGTTCAATCACAGATGATGCATAACTAACATATGATTGGAGCATATATGAAGTATTATCCCATTCAAAGTCTGTAATGTAAGGTAAACTATTATGAAGGTATTTACCTCAATATGCATAAAAAACAACAGCTTTTAAAACATCGACAATAGCACCTACATCGTGTTTCACATTTTTAACCCTGCAAGGGATTGTGGTAACAGCTTTTTAATTTATAAGGAAGTGGGTGTGACTATAGAGAAAAAGTACACTCCGACACCCACACTCTAGGACGAAATCGGTCATGGCAACTTCTTCATGCCCACACCAACACCCACAACACCCACAGCCCAGTGATGAAAATGATCATTTATTTCAATGACAGGTGGTTATCATTGTGTGTTTAGCCATAATTGATTGAAAGTGAAAATTTATGCGAGAAAAAAGAAATTAAAGAACGAATATCTTGATCGATGTTTCCCATTTGGACATTTTTCTTCTTTCTTTTGTTTTTTTCTCTCTACATATTTTGCGTTTCGGTGTTTTCCGACAATTCCATCATTCTATAATTTTAATTATGAATCGATATCGCTCAGTGCACGATATTGCAAATGATGAAAATCGCAAGTTGCTCACTGCTGCCGTTAGACATTCTATTTGGATATTCTTAAAATTAAACTTTAGTTGCTTTTAAATTGCAGACACAACTAATGAAAATTATAAAACTATTTGTGATATGAATTTTTAAATCAAAGTGAATAAGAGATATTGTTTTAATTATAATGGACTTCAATTTGTTGATGAAGATTGATTATGTGAAAATGTTGAAGATAAAAACAATTTCGTATAATCAGCATAATGTGCTTGGATATCTTCTCGATTGAAACCAAATTTGGAAAGAGTATACTTATGACGACTGTGTTTGCCCTGAGGATTTTCCAGAAGCCAATTATTCATCGCTATTTCGAATTCGTTCGACCATTGAAGATTGAAATAATCATAGATTTGATGAACAACACCAATGGGATTCTTCATCACATTGTCATAAGTAATATCGAACATATTTTTTCTCGATTGATCAACTCCACCATTTTGACATGTTCGAAATTTCATTATACATTCGATTGATTTATCCATGCTTTGATAACATCGTTTCGTTATTCTATCTCGACTGATCGAGTTCATTGCATCAAAATGCCCATTTGCAGCTACCGATGCCAAACTACACCATGAAGGAAGAACTTCGTCAAGAGACCGATGTGTCATAATTAATAATGCATTCGGATAATGTCGAAGAAGCTCATCAAGATAAAAAGCATGGTATGGTGTTTTTAATAACCAATGTGACTTCGGTGCGTCAACCGAATTTAACATGCGCACGAATGTCTCATGATAATCATATGCATAACCTTTGTTCATTTCATTACGGATCCAACTTTCTGCATTAGAATTCTCATTGTCAGATATAAGTGTAAACAATGGAAAACAGCCGGCTTGACGCAGAATATGACAATCTTCTTCATTTGGAAAATATGGATGACATGCAGCTATTTGAATGAAATTACTGGTTAACTGTTCAGTTTCTTGTGAAGGAGAGTTTAAAATATCGATTCGTCGTTTTTGTTCGATCGAATCAGATCGTGCAATCGGTGGAACAACGTCAATCATCATATCAGTGAACAATGGTGCACGACAATTTGGATCGCAGGCAAGCAAATTGTAGAGTAATGTTGTTCCTGTACGGGCAATTCCACAAATGATCAACGGACCAATAGTAGGCAAATTTTGATCGCGAAATTTATTATGTTCGGCTGCATAGTTTAGAACACGTTTAAAATTTGTGTGCAAATTGTGAAGTTCTGATAGAAAAAACTTTCGACCAACATCTGTTATCAGTTCATTATGGAGTACACATTGACGATATGATTCAAACGTATTCAATACATCCTTGTGATAGCTAAATTGACTTTTAGCTTTTTTGGTCAAATCATTCTCATGAAGAACAGTATTGTTTAATAGTGTCGCATGAGCAGCATTATTCTGATCTGATGTTGTACTCATTGATTTCATTAATATGTTTAGACTGTTTTGGATAATTATTTTTCAATAAATATTACTTTTGCTAAGGGTCTATATAAGCGAACAATGATACAAGGACCAACAATAACAATACACCGACCACAATCAGGTGATGTTAAACTACTTACTACGTCAACAGCGTATGAAGAAAAAAAAATTTTATCAGAGCTTCGACAATAACGCTTAGAGAAACAAAAGAAATGGCATACGCCGCTTATCTTCTTCTATTCTCTTTGCTATTTGCTTGACAATGATTTGATGTAATAAAAAAGATACAAGTGTAGACTTACACGTATCAGATGAAAGTTGATATCTTCCTTTTTTTTAACTGTAATGTAACAAAACATGATAGTGATTGAATTTTTTTCTTTTTTCTCATTTTTATTGAGAATTCGACTTTTGGGTCACATTAGTAAGCATTTTCAAGAAAAACCATGATCTCGCATATGAGTACACCTAAACGAAGGTGTGAGTATGGTGTGAGTGTCGCTGTGGATTGAGAGAAGAGCTACACCTATACCCACACACTCACACGCAACCAGAAAGCATGAAAACAATCAAAAATATCCACGAATAAACCATTGAACAAATATTTTGATTAATCTTGTAGGGTATGGAAGTGTTAGTTTGGATAAATTGAAGATTGACGCCCATACCCACACCCTCAGTTTTTCAAAAATAAAGAAATGACATGCCCTCTGCAATATTTTATAGTTAGCCGAACTGAAGGAGCAATATAATACTCTGCTATCTGTTTTAGATTCTTTTATCGGAGTTATTCGTGGAAGCTTTTATTGAATTATTATTAGATTAAAGTCACTTTAGTTTTTTATTCATCATATAAGCACAATATCAAATAATCATTGTAACAATGTATTTAGTATCATTGTATATAAAATAGAAAGATTTGTGGAACTTCATACAAAGGTGAAAGAACACAATTTTGATGTAATAACTTTAGAAATTGCCCATTTGTAAGAAACGATGGGTTTTTATTGAAACTATAAATAATTGTTTTTAGGTTTTGGATAATGTTGTCATACAGTAGCATGACTTTTTGTGAGTATTTATGACTGCGATGAACTGTTCAAGATTTTGTAGCATTTAAACATGTGTGCGATAAAATTTTACAGTATACGAGGGTATATGGGTGTGGTGTGGATGTGGGTGTGGGTGTGGGTGTTTGTATGGGTGTGGGTATGACCATTAATAGAAGGAACACCTACCCACCCATCATGATACCACATCCGACACCCCCATCCACACCCGCACATCTCTCGTTCTGTCACTTTAGCATATTCTCCCGTCGACCGATTGTCTAACTATTCGTTGATATACTTGTTCTTGTTTGCATATAAATAAACTTTTGTCCAGCAACAAGATCTATGCAGCATCTTGCATGTGTTGGTAGTACATGTATGATTCCATATTAGGGGTGAGAAAGTTATTTTTCTTTTTTTGTTATTAATAACAATAACATTAGCCTTTTGATTAAAAAAAATCAATGAAAAAAATCTAAGCATAGTTCATACGAATGTCAAAGGATCACTTTATTCATAGAGCATCTTTTCCTACTATTTGATATAAGAACCTGTCGTAAAGATTTTGAGAAACAGTAACACAATATAATTTGTTATTGTTATATAGCAATAACAATAACAAATTACGTTATGTTAGCATTCCTCATAATATTTACGGCAAGTTCTCATATCAAATGGTAGGAAAAAATACTATATAAATAAAGTAATCCTTTGATGTTCGTACAAACT